AAAAAAATAAAATACTACTTCTTCTTCTTCCTCAAAAACTTCTTTTTTCACACTTAAAAACTTCTAAAGACGAGGGAAAAAATATTGATACATTAAAATATCCCAATATCTTTATATGCTGATATATTGCCATTTAAAAACACCATATCGATCTCTTTTACTAATGAAATATTGCTTTTTAAAAATCAATTTGATATCAGCATATGAAAATATATCTGAGTTTATTATTTTTCAAAGTGCCAGAAATGGATAACAAAACTGCTATTTTCAATGGCTACTTATTTTTGTCCAGCTTTAACATCGGTATCGATATCAGTTATCGGCTACATGAGTTTTAAAATATCGGCATATCGGATATCGGCCACACAATTCTCCACAACAACTCATTTTTTCCCCTGGTACACCCGGCTAAGCTGCTTCGCTTCTTCTTCTTCTTGTTTACTATTGGTGGTTGGCTTTGGTCGCAGTACCGCCACCTTCTGCTCTGGAGTGTAAACGCTTCGCCTTTGAGAAAAAGGAGCAGCGCATGAACCGAACGAAACACATGCGAACCGAGACAGTCGAACCAAACGGTTCGGACGGTTTTCATAAATCGTCCCATCTCTAGTCAGTTCATCTGGATTACGATCCATCCTTCAAATATTATTTCGCTGTCGGAGCCACTCAGACCGCCGTACACCATCGCTTCTTTGGGGTTTTCTGCTAATCTTCCTGGCTGCTGGAAGGTGTTTTTTTTTTTTTTTTTTAACTTAGGTTACAACTTTTTGCAAAAGACAGTCGGGAAGAAATACAAAATTAAACGTAATAACCCAATAAAATCTGGTCAACAATTTTAATGATTAGATTTTTTTTTGGAAGGCGTTTTTTACGTATGTAATCCAAACTGCAGGCAGTGGAATAAAAGCAAACATATTCTTGCAGCAGGTTTCAACATTTTAAGTTAATTTAGACGTTAAAGAACCGTTTCAGAGGAGTGATCATAGCGCTCTGCATCAGCAGCGCTGTGTCCGTCTCCCTGCCAGCTCCCTGATCAGCTTCTCTGATTGGTTGATTTAGCGCGTCGAGCAGCAAAAGTTCAATTTTTCCAACTCCAGCAGCTGCTGCTTTTGCAGCGTGTCCCACGTGTCAGAGGCTCAAATGCACTGCAGGACCTTTTGCATCAACCGTTGACCTTACATGTAAACTAGCTCCTCCTGCTGCCTCTATCGTGTCCGGTCTGAATGTAGCATGTTTTTATATTTATCATTTACATGCATTTATTAGCTAACCAGAAATGTAACATTTTATAGATAAATAATTAGAAATCAGTGAAGTCAGTCAGGCTGTTTAAATCTGTTTTATCTGCAGTAGAAAGAAATTGAAACGGTTGATATTTTCATTGTTTTGTCTGATGATCCATCAAGCAGTTGGTTCTCTGTAGACTTTTCCACCTTAAATGTAGCATTTAGCCATTAAAGCAGAAGCTGCTGATGCTGAGTTTGCCTGCATGGCTGAGAGCCATCAGAGAACCCTGCAGTGGGACAAACATTTCCAGTTTTCCTTCATCCGGGAACATGGAACTGTTTATGGAACAACAGAAGTCAAGCCACAGTTTTTTGTTACGCTGACTATGTAGAGTGTTCCTGGCGTGTTGTCAGTCAGTATTTGAATGTTTTATGCAGGAGTTGAGTTAAACTCAAACTCCATCAGTCAATTCTTTGCCTACTTTGGTAGAGCTGTCATTTCTCCAACACAAATCAGCTCTGCAGTGACTGAATCCTGCAGCATGCACCCTGTTTTACAGTTTACTTTACTTTTACACTGAGCCTTGACCAAACCAGCTGCTTTGCACTTAAAGGAATGGTATCAAGAAATGTTGTCAACACTGGGTGGTGCTGTTGGCTGAAAAAAAACTCCGATCTATAGAAGTTTGGTTCCAGTATTTCAGTTCTGATACCAAAAAGCTTAAAAAGAAAAATTTGTCTTTAATGTGGGGTTTTTCTCTTCATATATTTAATACGCCTCCTTAATGCGGCTGGCTGTGTTTTCTTTGTTTTTGTTAGTGGTCAGCTCTAACTTAGGCTCTTCCTCCTTATCATCAGGTCTCTGTCTGTTTGACTCTCTTCCTTCCTCCAGTATCTCTCCATTGTTCTCCATCAGCGTAATGAACCTTGGCACATTATGATGAATGTCTGGTATGTCCGAGAAGTTGTTAGACCTGTTTTTTTTCACCGTTGTTTTTACCTCTGCAGAATTTTTTTTTGTTAAAGGAAAAGTCCGCTCATATTCAGAATTCAAACTTCTGAAAGTTCTTTAGATATGAAATTATTACATCCTGTTCAATAAATAAGTGTTTTTAATTTTGAGTAATTTTCATGTGAATGTGCTTTACTGGAGGCATCCATGTTTGTCAAAGAACACTACTGCCACCTACTGGTTTGTGACGTCACAGTGCGGTATCGGCTGTTGATCAAGTCCTAGTGCTGTATCTGGTGTTTGTCACAACACGCTATTATCCAAGTCATCTTGAAAACATTCTTCCTCCAAATGTTGGCTACATATTACGGGTTTTTTCTCTGGCCAGAAGTTCGATGGCAAATCCTCCCTCTTCAAGTTGGCGATCCAACGACCAACCCGTCCGTGGAGGATCAGGAATCAGAAAGGTGGAATAACTCTTTTACCCGATGTATTCCAGCATCCAGCTGCCATGCACGTGGGCATTGTCAGTTTCACTATAGCTCTGGTGAATTTCAATGGTGAAGTCCTCTGGAAATCTTCAATAATTGTTGTTGATTGCAGATGTGTCTAGTAGTTCCCATTGATTTTGCTTGTAAAGCGGGGAGAATGGCGCTAGGCTTACCGCACCGTGACGTCACTGCTGGAAGATGGCAGGAGGGAGGGGCTACTATATTTGGGCAAAAATGGCTGGTCCCAGTATCAGTGATCGTGACAAAAAATTTATTTTAACTTTTAGTTACTGATTAACGCTAAACTCCTTAATTCACTGCGGACGTATTCGTTTTGGGTATAAATAACGATCCATTGATAATTTCTTCCTGACCGGACTTTTCCTTTAAAGAACCTAGAATATTTCTATGGAGTGAACTTTGTTCTATTGTTGTTGCAGTAAAGAACATGTATGGAAAAAGCTGAAATATAATTTTTGAAAAAATATGAGAACACTCCAAACTTTAAAACTTTTTACTGCGTTTGCCTGCATTCTTAGGCTCTCCATCACTTTGCTTCTTGGTTGATTTTGCACCGTAGCGAGAGAACAGGTGTGACAGTTTGTGGATCAAAGGAACAATCAGCCACAAGTGCAACTCAATCCTCCTTACAGAGTCCACACTAGTAAGAAAATAAAAGTTTTGACTAGTGCAACCAAAACTGGAGTCAGATCAGCAATGGAATAAGACGACTGATGGTGACAGCGATGCTATCCTTTATCTCTACGGTCCAACTCCAAATGAAATTCTACATAGATCCATTTGATTGGTTCTTACCTTGATGCTGATTCCCTGTTTGTTAGGAACAGGAACTTTCTTCCTCCTCGATGTTCTGATAGAGAACTTGGGGAGGATTGACAAGAACTTAGAGTTTCTGTAGATTGATTTTATTTAATAAAGTATTTCTTGATCTTTGTGCTGATCTGTATGGAGGATAAAAAGTGCCAAAATTAAATAAATAAATACAGCATTAAATAAATAAATAAATGTGTCATTCATTAATTAAAACCACGTCACTAATATAAAGTGCCACAATTAAATAAATAAATACAGCGATAAACAATTAATTAAATGTGTAATTCATTAAATAAATAAGGAATTAAATATATAAATGTGTCATTAATTTAATAAAATACGTCTTCATTTCATAAAAAAAATATAATTATTTCAGTGTGCATTTAATTATTTCATGGTCCTGTGTCGCAGTGCATCGAAACCATTAAAAGAATCTGTCAAACTCACCCATCAAAGTTAGGGGGCGGGGTTATCTAACACCTGATTGGTCACCCTGCACATTAAGGTGAAGCAAATCGATTACAGAGACTGGATTCGTGTTAACCCCGCCCCCTAACTTTGATGGGTGAGTTTGACAGATTCTTTTAATGGTTTCGATGCACTGCAGCACAGGACCACGAAATAATTAAATGCACACTGAAATAATTATATTTTTTTTATGAAATGAAGACGTATTTTATTAAATTAATGACACATTTATATATTTAATTCCTTATTTATTTAATGAATTACACATTTAATTAATTGTTTATCGCTGTATTTATTTATTTAATTGTGGCACTTTATATTAGTGACGTGGTTTTAATTAATGAATGACACATTTATTTATTTAATTCCACATTTAATTAATTATTGACACATTTAATTATTTATTTAATGCTGTATTTATTTATTTAATTTCGGCACTTTTTATCCTCCATAGATCTGTTGCTTTACCTTGAGTCATTGCAGGGCGGTCTGTCTCTTGTATGTGGCTGTGAATATTCAGTCTGTTATTTTGGTAGTTCTATAGTACCGCCAGCAGATGGCGCCACAGCTGTTTGTCTGCTCACTATGCCCAGTGCTGGAATCTATTTAGGTCTGTATCTAAACTCTATAAGGTGGACCCTTGGTGTACATATCCTAGTCTGATCAGGTTCTAATGGGTTTTGGTCTTTATTCTGTTCAGACATCTAAGATGACTTTGAACCTGTAGGTGATTTTTCCCTTTGAAGTGTAACCTGATAGCACTAGGGTTAGATTATAGCTTCACATTGACCCTCTACACTCTGACCTGCAGTTAACATGGGTTCTAGAGTTCTTTGTCTATAACCTGCTCTAAAATAGGATTTATTTAGTGACAAACTCAATCTTTCCATTGGTTGTAGCTGTTAGATACGACCCGTTCCTACTTGGATTGACCTCTCGCCTGGAACCTTCTTCACTTGATTGATCTCGCCTGGCGCTGATGGAGTGGGAAAGCACCGCTCTAAATTTATCAGCTGGCCCTACCACCCATCCCCACAGGCTCGTGTCGGCCTCATCTCGTCACAACACTTTGGGGGGGGGGCTGATGGGACCATTGGTCTGTCTTTTTGTCTCAGTGGTCCTGTTTAGAAAGCCGCCGCTGCTCTGACCTCTCAGTAGAAGACAAAACAAACCAGGAAACCCCGGAGGGGGGTTAGTTCATCAAGGTATGTGGCTTTGATTTAATAGATTAATATTCAATCTGTTTTTCAAATATATATTAAGACGATTTAGTAGGAATTTTACATTTATTAGTATAATAAACCTTCAAGTATTTTAGGTTACTTATACAGGAAGCGCTGTAGAAATACGTTTCAATCTGCTTTTTTCTTAAGAATATTTGAGATTGTCAGAATAAGGCTTCTCGTCACGTTGGAAGAATGAAGCGGGACATTTGGGTTCTGAGGCGTTCTGAGCCGCACTGAGTGGGATTGAGCGGCGGTGGAAACTACAGCTGTTAATTGTGCTGCACCTGCTCTCGCTCCGTCAGGACGGGCTGACGGAAATAGATCGCTGCCTGACAGCGCAGCGCACCCAAATATTTGGCAGAAGTTTTTCCATTAATATAAATTGTTTGTGCTTATTTGACTTCTATTTGACTTTTAAACAACCCTTTGAGCCGGTTTCAGGCTCGGAGGGGATTTAGCTTCTTCTGAATGAGCTATCAGGTTATAGAAAAGTTTTTAACATATTAAAGCGAGTTAGGAGGATATGTTTAGCAGTTAATTTTGGAAGTTTAAATGATAAAAACAAGGATTTTTCTTTTGTAGACTTTTAGAAATGGTTTGTTAGAATAGCAGTTGGCCTTTTTAGATGTCTGTCTACTTGGGAACCTACTGATGACTTTCAGTTTAATACCAAACTGCTTTACATTTTATTGCTTGACTGAGGAAAAATATAGTTTTATGACTACCTGATTATTAGTTTCGTACAGATTTGCTGAATATTTATCAGTTTTCTGAGGAAAGAAGGATTTAGCTACATTTTTTTTCTTCAAAATCCCATTACCCATATTTTATCCATGTATTTTCTACTATTAGTTCTGACTATTTTAGTTCTACTATTTTTTTAAAGCTTGTTTCTACCAAGCTTTGGTATTAAGATCTCAAAAATCTCTTTTATTTTGATTGTCAAGATTTAGATCAGATCTTAAATTCAGTGATACTGAATTTCATCAATTATTATGCAGCGCATTAAAACTAGTGTTAATTAACATTTAAAAGTAAATGAGTAAAGTAATTAGGGTTGCATCTTATGATTATTTTCATAAACTATTGTCTTTATTTCAGCTGATCTAAAAAGAGATACTTTGGTAAAAACATTTTTAAGTAAACATATTTGGAATATAGGAAAAAAATATGCATTTAAAGGAGTTGCAACTGCTAAAAGATGTAAAAAAAAATGTGTAATTATTAATGTTTGTATAGATATGTAGTAATAGGAAAACACTGGAAATAAATGGTGGAAAATGTGTTTATTTGACCAGTTTCAAATAAAAAAAATTCAATTTATTTACCGAACTGACAAACATTTCAGCACTGAAATTAATAATAGTTAATGGTGGCTTTAAGGAATGTGGAAAATACACATTTAAATTGATCCGAGTATGAATCTATTTAGAATTGTTTTTTAAATGAATCCCTGGTTTCTACAGCCCTTTCTTTTAATAAACATTAAAAACTTAAATAATCTAGACCAGGTCATAAATTCAGATCCTAATTTGAAAAGATCCCTATAAAGATTCTGTTACGTTCTATATCTCCCTGAGTAAAAGCACGTTTTCTAACTAGTATTTTTGTTACTATTGTTGATTACGTTAACGCCCAGAATAGTTGCATTCAAAGTATAGACATTCAGCGTCTTAGCTTTTATTTTTGGCAGACATTGTCACACACTTCTGTAAACGTCATTTAATCTCAAAGCTCTGAGTGGCGGGTTTATTTTTACCCTCTGCTCTAAATATACCCCAGCCCCAGTTCCCAGTGACTTCATTGGCCGAGGCCTGATCTGATTTCCGAGCTCTGGAAGAGGACGCCGAGTGTCTACCGAGACGATGCGTGATGCACTCTGCTGCACATCTTCACTGTTTGGCTGCGTCACCCTCCGTTTTCTCAGCTGTTCTCAGCTCACAGTGTCAGACTCGCTGCCATTTGATTGGCTGTGATTCAAAGCAAATGAACAGAGTGTTTAAAGATAATAATTTAGTGAAGCTCGACCTCTAAGCTTTTTATGTTTTAAAGAATTAAAATAAAACCCCCTTTAGGCATTTACTCGTTTCCACCTTAGGGAACCAAACCAAGACAGCATGACTGAACAGGTTTGCTGCTGTTGGAAAGCCTGTTTTGGTCTGGTTGTTCTCACAGAGCCTTCACACGTGAAATAAAAGAGAACGTTAACATTGCATGGAATATGTGTTTCTTAGTAATACACAGATACTACTATCAGTATTGGCCTTATACCACATGTACTTAGAAAAACAACCTGGTACTCTGATCTGAACTCTTTCTGTGTTTTGTAAAGATCTAGCTGTGCTGGATCTAAGGTGAACGTCTTATTGTCGCACAGCAGATATGTTTTAGAAATGGAGAAGAAACAAAAGCAATCCCTAAATTAAACTTTAAAATACTTCTTAAGTGAAACAGGTTATAAGATCAATGTCGCTATTTTCCTTGATTTTATATTTTGAATTTTATTTTTAGTTTGTATGTTCTTTTTAAACTTGATTTTATTTTACAAATTGCAACTTCTCTTTTACAGATCACATCCTCTTTACCAGTCGCTCGATCTTGACCAATAAAAATGGTGCTAAAGTCCATTCACACCAGTAGAAATGTGCTTTCGTTAAAGAGAATGTACGGAAGAGGATTAGGGCCACTGGGGGAAAAAAAAAAAGTTAACTGATTTTTAAATTTTATTTCAGTTTAACATGGGGAAAAAAGTCAGAATTCTGACTTTAATCTCAGAATTCTGACTTTAATCTCAGAATTCTGACTTTAATCTCAGAAATCTGACTTTTTTTTCTCAATTCTGACTTTTTTTTTTCTCAATTCTGACTTTTTTCTCAGAATTCTGACTTTAATCTCAGAATTCTGACTTTAATCTCAGAATTCTGACTTTAATCTCAGAAATCTGACTTTAATCTCAGAAATCTGACTTTTTTCTCAATTCTGACAGTTTTTTCTCAATTCTGACTTTTTTCTCATAATTCTGACTTTTTTCTTAGGATTATGACTTTTTTCTCAGTGTTCTGATTTTAATCTCAGAATTCTTAGAAAAAAGTCAGAATTCTGAGAAAAAAAGTCAGAATTCTGAGAAAAGAGTACGAATTGAGAAAAAAAGTCAAAATTCTAAGACAAAGTCAGAATTCTGAGAAAAAAGTCTGAATTCTGACTTTTTTCCCATATTAAACTGAAATAAAATAAAAAAATCAGTTAACTTTTTTTTTTTTTTTTCTAGTGGCCCTAATCCTCTTCCGTAAGAACGTCATCCGCTAAATGTAGTTTGAAAATGTGTTAATTCAATCAGATAACGAGAAATTTTAAGGGAAAAAAAGCATATTTAACTTAAACTCAGATAACGTCCTTGATGCAGGATCCAAAGATCCCTTTGTGAAAACTTGCAATCATACTGAAATAGGATTTGCAAAATGTTACTGCATACTACTCATTATAAAAGGTTAAAGAATTAAATCAGAATTAATTTCCCATCTGTAAGCTTCTAGATTATCAAACATCTTTAACTGTTTAAAAGACTAATAAACAAAAGAAACAAGCTTAAACAGTCGTAAGGGTTTTTGGAAATGATTCAGTTTTACTGGAGTTCTGCCTGGACTTGTCTTGACTTCAGCAGCTCCAGCATTTCAGGTTATCTTTGCAGCCCGTAAATCAGGATTAGAGTTTACATACAGCAGGTGGCTTGAAGCAAAGGTCACAAATTAACCAAAAAAACAACAAAAAAGCCAAAACAAGCTGCCTGATCCATCGCCTGCATTTATTTGGCTGTGAGAAGCATCGTGTTGACAATAATCAAGCTTTTTAAAGTTGAATCTTCTGCCAACATACTGATGACTGCAGCTGTATTTAATATGGTGCAGCAGCTTTGAAGGAAAACAGACGGCCTGTTTATCCTCTTAAGTGTTTGCATACTGCTGGTTGTTTCTTGGGGATGCTTCTCTAGTACTCCATCACGGCTACAAACGTCTTTACATGTGGCTCTCACCATATGCGCTGCGTTTATCACACTATGACCAATGTGTGCTTATTTAACTGCAGAGGTACCGATGGTTCCCAAGGGCTCTGCTTGAATCAGACGAATGAGTCTTCTTGCTCTTCAGGTGCGCGACGTTCCTCTAGGGTCACATCATCGTTGCGGAACAGATGGCGCTGTATTCGCACACAGGAGCGCCCATCAGTCATTGTTGCTAAAGTGTTCAGACAGCTGGCTGTCATGACCTCAGTGTTTGTTAATCCTTAGAAAGGAGACGGCATTACAGTAGCCGAGGCCAGGAGCCAAATTTAAGTCCCATGTTGGATATCAAGCCACGCCGACTCTCATTAAGAAATTCATTTGAAAGCCACACAACAGTCCAAAAAAACCTTTTGTCTGCCTTAAATTTTGGAAAATGTCCGGTGATTATTGATTTCTCAGGGTTTCTTAGTCTTAGGAGTACATCTGTAAATCTTCAGAGAGGTATTGGACGCCTGTAGGACAACACTTGCTTAAGATTAGAATTGAGTTATAGGTTTTAGTCTCAGAAGTAGAGTGCATGACTTGCTTGGCACATCTGAAGAGTTTGGTTTAAATGATGTATGACTTTATCTGCCACTTTAGCCAATTTTTAGGTTTTAGTTTGTCTTTGGTATGGCTGAACAATTTAGCCCAAACTAAAAAAGTGTTCACCTTTTCTATTCCCTCAACCATTATTGCGATTGTTATTAAAGATTGACAGATAAGAGTTAAACTTATTTATTTTGTCATTTTGCATACACAAGTGTAAACATATAAATTTTGTTTAGAACAGCTCTCTAGAGATTTTCATTTTTTAAAGTGAAGCCTTGATAAGGCAAGCGGAAGTTGTTGTTGAGCTGCTACTACTGCCTCCAGCTCCTGAAGCGCTCGCTTCTCCTGGCTCAGGGGAGTAAGAGGACGATTATGACTATGATGGGAG